CCACGGAGAGACTCTCCGTCTCCTCGCTGGGGTTGGAAAGCCGCCTTGGCACCGCCTTGATGCCATCCGCCTTTTACAGTTTGGGCACCTCCAGCGGGATGTACTCTTGGTTGCCGTTGAGGAACAGCAGATGTATGCCGCATTGGGAGTGTGGGAGCTGTGGGCTCTCTCGAGGAGCTGACGTGGCCCGTGACACGTGGTACGAAACACCCACGTGATCTGTGGTCTACAGACCAAGAGCGGAAATAAATACACCGATGACCTGTGGTCTAATACAGATCGAGCCCTGCAGATCGAACTATCACTGATGACGTGTGGTCTACAGATGAGAGCAGCAACCATGTTCGGATCTATCTGCGTCTACAGATGAAGAGTTGGAAACATCACGGATGATCTGTGGTCTGCAGATCAAGAGTTGGAAATATCACAGATGATCTATGGTCTATAGATCAAGAGTCGGAAACATGAAAGATGATCTATGGTCTACAGATCAAGAGTCGGAAACATCCACAGATGATCTATGTAGTTATAGATAAAGAGCAGCAAACATGTATAGATCTATCTGTGTCTATAGATCAAGAGTCGGAAACAAGGACAGATCAACAGATCGCTATAGATTTTGGTGATCTGCGACCAAAATTATCTACAGTGATCCATAGAGATCTGATCTATCCGATGTGTGCAAAGTTGCAAACCTACGCGTCTACAACTGTCAGGCATTTGTACTACCCCTTTTCAAGTAGTCCCCTCCCAGCTAACAGGATCCCTACTGTATCGAGTTGCTGTCAGCACCGCGGCGCGCCTAAGGCCACAAGCACCAATGCCAAACCGCAGCGGAAAAACGTAAAACCTAACGCTACATCGCTTGATGACATTTTTATAGAGGGCGATCAACCAAGCAGAAGATCAAGCAGTATCTCAACCACAACGGTACCCCGCTTCGAGAGACACTGGACCTAGACATTTTTTGCTACTCCTTCACAAGTAACTCCCTCCCAGCAACAGGATCCCTACTGCTGTATCCAGCTGCTGTTAGCAACGGGGCGCGTCTACAACCAACCCCGATCACCATTGTCGATCACATGACAGTGAGGGGTGCCCCCCTCGGTCTGTACATCAATGAAAGATCATATAAAAGGGCAATCAACCACACGTTAGGGGAGGGTGCCCCCTCTCAGCCTAAACATCAGAGGACGAACGAAGCAGCATATCAATCACAAACAGTTCATCAACCAGCCTGCTGGTACCTGCTAATATGAGAGACGCTGGTCGCCATCTATCACTACAAAGGGGTTATTCGTCAGCCCTCCCTGATTTCAGGCAAATATCCCGGTGAAACAAGACACCAGGAAACAATTCCGAAGACCATCAATCAAATTGGTGTGACCGCAGTGCCCTGCGGATCACCATTCCTCAAAGTGAGACGACAACGGAATGCCACACCATCCTCAGTATTTCATCGTGCAAAAAGCCTCATCATGGCTCAACCTACGCGGTTAGTTACTGAGATGAGCATGGTATACCGGACAGGCAACATCGAGTTTCGTGGACTGCGTTCGTATCCCGATCAAACACACAACAAAAGAACAACGAGCGAACGGCGGAAAAATAACAGGCCAGAAAAAATTCTCCTTTGTACTTTCGGCTGTCGTATCATCAAAATCGGCTCTTTGCAGGGAAATGCCGGCGAGCCGAATTGCACGCAAGGCACGAAAAAGGGACGGGCGCTGATGCACTGCTGCGGAAGCGGATCTAGAAAACGTCAGAGTGCTTCGTAATCGACGTCCAACTCGACACCACCAACTCCAACTTCAATCGCGGTGACTGCAGTCTCAGTTCTCGATGGGCAGTTTTCGCGTTGTGCCCCTTTTTCCCGCACCTCTGGCAAAGCTTCTCTGGGCATGCACTCGCATAGTGGTCCCCATCACAGACGTAGCACTTGACTCTCTTATCGCTGGCCAAATTCTCCTCTTCGTCACCTCGGTTCTGTTTCGACCGTCTCTTCCCCCCCCCCTTCCCCTCTACTGCTACGAACGCATGATGATTCGCTCGCCGATCACTCTTCCCCCTCTTTTCCTCCGCTTTCAGTTGCCCACCCCGTGTGCGTAGCACTCTCAACATCTCTTCTTCATCGAGTGTTTTCTGGGAGAGCAGCTGTTGCTTTTTAAATTTCAAATTCCGGGGAAAGCGCATCGAGGAACCGTGCGTGTACGAGAGCATTTTTGGGGTGGGCTGGTCAAATGCAACCTCTAGGTTGGTCACTACGGACTTGAACTCCTGAAAAAACACTCGGGGGTCCTGGTTCTTCCCCTATTGGGCGTTGTAAAACTTGCCGATCAGCGAGATCTGCTCGCCGCCGGTCAGCGGGGGGAGGGGGGAGTCACAGGGGAGGACGCACTTCCGGCGGGCGGTGTCCCGGGCACTAACCGGGACAAGGTGTTCATGATGCCTTCCAGTTTCTCCGTCACCATCTTCGCCAGTCTGGTGCTGGCGTCGCCCACGGCGTCGTCGATGGCCGTCCTAAGCTCCTCACGAGTCGGGCCAGCCTCGCCCCCGCCAGAGTTTCCAGAGTCGAAGACATGTGTGTCTGCCGCACAAGACTATGGCGTTAACGCCACAAATCTTTAGAGGGTTAATTGGCCCCAAGCCGAGTGCTGCTGGATGAGCACGGCTGTCCCGGTTGACAATGTGAAGAGATGGTTAAGTCGTTTTATTGGTCGTC